TCACTTCAGCCGTCAATTATTCAACTTGGCGGGTTCGAGCAAATAGGCGTTGGGCCATATTATACACAGAACCTGTACACTGAACACTCAGAGCCAGAAAATCCTTAACAGCCAACTCATCAGACCGTTTGGAAAGTAGTCTGTTATCTTTGGGAGTGAGAAGGTTCCTGGTCACCACCACAGCGGTCATATGATTCTTCATCACAGAGTCCCCAACGGTAAGAGGACCAGTAGGGGATAAGAAGGATGGGCGCTATATGTTGTCTTAAGAAGGCATGGCTGCCTCTTCACCAAAGTTTAAGTCAAAACGACGGTTTGATGGGCCAAAGATCCTAAAAAATGATGAAGGAGAAATGAGGTGCAATAAATCTCTGAAGTACAAAAATAAGGGGAAAATTCCTACAAGCAATAACTCTCTGAACGTACTTCTTGCACATAATTGGTGCGCCTATAAAAGAAAGGGCAACAGGGTCGTTGGTTCAAAAATCGAAAAGGCACCACTCTCCGGATTTCGAGAAGTAGATTTTTCTGAGTAAAATATGCCGACAATCCCCACACGCAACATCAGCTCCTCGGTTACCACAGATAACTTTGCCAAAGATCTCTCACAAAGTTTAGACACATAAATTTTGAAGGTTCAGCTACCCTATTATTACCCACAAGGGTAAAAGAACAACACCACTTCTTGAAAACTGTAAAGTCCCTGTGTGTGTTAACCTCCATGCTTCGTGGCAAGGCAAACTGGCAAAAATGCCCAACCTTTACTCACATCGAGAAACACTCCCAACATGATTACTTGCTAAAAAATCGAAGAGGCATTGCTCCCCGAATCTCGAGAGCCAAACTCCCACCAGGATTGCTTTCTCAAAAATTGAAGAGGCACCGTTATCCGACTCTCGAGAGCCAGACTCCCAACAAGATTGCTTTCTCAAAAATCGAAGAAGCACCGCTCTCCGAATCTTGAAAGCCAGACTTCCAACATGATTGCTTTTTCAAAAATTGAAGAGGCATCGCTCTCCGAATCTCGAAAGCCAGACTCCCAACAGAATTGTTTTCTCAAAAATCGAAGAGGCACCGTTCTCCAAATCTCGAGAGCCAAGTCCCCGACATATTGCTTGTTCAAAAACTGAAGAAGCACCGCTCTCTGAACTTCGAGAGCCAGATTTCCTTGGATAAAGCTTATCTGCAATCTTCACACACAACATCAGCTTTCTAGATACCACATATCACTTTTTCAAAATGCTCTGACAATGTTAAAACATGTGATTCTTGCAGCTTCCACTACATTGCTATGACCGAGAAAGGTAAAGGAACAACGTTACTACTCGCTGTTAGGACAATTCCTATATATGTCGACCTTCATCCTCCACAGCCAAGCAAACCTGCAAATAAAAAAAATGCTCAACTTTTCTTCACATCCGAGAAGGCACTCTCAGCAGAGTCTTTCGAAATACTCAGCTTATTTTCCCCCCGATAATACCTCTGCAAACAAGCCACACCAGAGCTAAAGTATCTCATATTATCAAGGTTAAAAGCAAGAGTATCCCATATCATGCTTTTTCCCTGTCTTTTCCTTTGCCCTTGTTTTTACCTGCAAGACAAGGATAAAGAGCGCAATCAGTTAGCACTTGGAATCAAGCTTCCAGTCAGGAACTGACTGCCTGGAACCCCTTGCTTGATTACTTACTTGGCATTGCTTTCGAGTACTCATCTTCAACATCTTATGCTTCTAGAAAAGATACCACATCTGCCTGAGGAACAGATAGGGCAAGTGAGAATGATACAAGGAAGCCTGTGGAGACAAGCACAATAGAACACATGCTGGTTCATCTATTACTTTGTCAATAGCAAAAGTATCCCATATCATCAAGGTCAAACGCACTCTTGATTTGATGGACTTGTTTTGAACCTCAAATTCTTGAGTCGACCTTATACTCTGGAGGAAACCAGAAAACCCTCCAGCCCAGTTCAAGAATAAGCTTGTGGAAAGTTACTTCTTCAAAAGCAAAAGTATCTCATATCATCTTTTCTCATTTTTATTCTGTTTATCCTTCCTGCTACCTGCAAGATAGAGAGAATGAGAACAATCAGCCGGAACTCGAAATCAAACTTCTGATTTGGGACTGATTACTAGGAGCTCTGATTACTTACCTTGTCTGTCACATCTTTCGGCAGATCTCCTAACTCGGCGACTTAGGGGACTCCTACTACATGGTTTGTATCACACTTGACCAAGCATAAAACTACAAGTAAGCTTCAAGTGAAATTGATACATTACCTTGTGCATCTCTACCGGTTAAAGATACCACCCTTGGATGGAGGAAAAGTACTTCTAGAGAAGATGCCACATCTATCTATGAGACAGATAAGGTAAGTGAAAACGATTCCATACTTCAGTACTTATAAGTTTCGTGATTACTCAGCGGCTTGGATCTTGCAAGTCCCCAACCGACGAGATTCCCTCACTCGATAACTTAGGGGAGCACTATTTGTACCATACTCGATCAATCCCGAAACTACTGAGCATCGGTTAATGTTATACCATCAAGGACCCAGAAGAGTTTCCCTCCAACCAGGGGCCAATCACAGTGCGACACATGTCGACATCAAAAGCCAATCATAGCGCGACACGTGTCAACATCAGAAGCCAATCACAACACGACACGTGTCAATGTCAAAACAAAGCTAGAAACTCTCTTATATAAAAGGAGATCATTCTCCGACAATATTTCCTAATATCATTTGTACTAAATCATTCACTTGTACTCATTAAAGGAGAGCTTGAACCTATGTACTTGTGTAAACCCTTCACAATTAATGAGAACTCCTCTACTCCGTGGACGTAGCCAATCTGGGTGAATCACGTACATCTTATGTTTGCTTCTCTGTCTCTATCCATTTACATACTTATCCACACTAGTGACCGGAGCAATCTAGTGAAGGTCACAAACTTAACATTTTTTGTTGTACCAAAGTCCTTATCGATTTTATGCATCAACATAGCCCAAAACCTTTTTTTAGCCCAATGATTGGAGAAGCTTTGAGCAAGCTTAAAACTTATGTTTTGAGTTTTAACCCAACCATAGGAGTTGGTATTCGATATGTAAATGGGATTGTGGTTTAATTTTGGGTTGTTAGATTTTCTTTTTATTGTTAGATTTGCTTATATTCGATCTCAATCGTTGGCTTTAGTGTATTTATAGTTTTATTTATAAAAAAAATGAATCTAGACTGTTGGCTTAAACCAACGGTCCAACCACGTGGGCCGTCCAAGAAAAATAAATAGCCGTTGGTCTTTTAACAAGTGGTTGACAGTTTTACTAACTGTATTTTGGCTCATTTTTGGGTTAAATTTGGCCAAAAAATCATTTGTAGCCCAAAACCTTTTTTTAGCCCAATGATTGGAGAAGCTTTGAGCAAACTTAAAACTTATGTTCTGAGTTTTAATCCAACCATAGGAGTTGGTCTTCGATACGTAAATGGGATTGTGGTTAAATTTGTTATTAGAGCATCTCTAAAAGAGATGTCAAAATTTTATTTGATGGTTGATGTGGCAAATTGAATACAAATGCTAAATTCTCTTCTTTTCCAATGGATGTGTCAAATATTTACGTTATTATTTTATTGGGCCTAGAGTTACATTAACTATTAAAAAATAATCAAAATTAGTTTTAGTTTTTATTCTATTGATTGTTAATGGGATCCATACATTAAAAATTAAATTAAATATATTTGACTCTTTCTTTGTTTGCTGTCAAAAAATGCAGCTAGAAAGTAAGGAGTTAAATTACTCACATACCACATCATACATGACTTATCCATTGGAGAACACTTAAATGTCTTTTAATCTTATTTGACATATTTGACATTTCCCTTAAAGATGGTCTTAAGCTTCAGCCCTAATTGTACCAAAAAATCACGTGCGACGATGATCTTTCTAACACTGAGTTTCTAAATGAATGATTAAAGCAATACAGATAAAAGAAAAAACATGTAGTATTTTGATTCTTAAGAAAGTAAATGCTGACATCTATTTTCCACGTGTATATTGACAATTGCTAGTTGCGAATCACAATATTGATTAATGTGGATTCTATATCGGGTCTCGTATAGATCTATAGTTAAGAACTAGCAAGGATGCCCGCGCGTTGCTGCGGGAATGAATATTGTATAACACATAGAAATTCTAAAAAAAAATTATATATATATATATATGTATATACAGTAGACAATACTATGTACATACATGTGCAAATTTATTTACAACTCTATCAACAATAAGGAACAAAAAAGGTGTCCATGGGAGAAATGAAGTTTATGGTTGTAAATTGTGAAATTCCATACATGTCAAACTTCATTTAGGAAATTGAAACCATAAAGAATAAAGTGATAAACACGCAAAACAGTTCACAATATGAAACCGTTGCTTCACTAAATAAGCAGTGCCAACAAAATCATGCTTGTTTTGCTGCAAAAGAACAAAGTAGAAGAAGGGAAACAAAATATTTATTTGTTATTTTATTTTCTGTGGAAAAAACTTGGAATGACAATCAATAGTGAAAACATATTTATTTAAAATTTTTAGACACAGAAAAATAGTACAGAAACCAACAATGAAGTTAAGAAGGAATAAAACACATAGTACACATACCTGCTTAAACGTTCCTCCTTTTGCTCAGCCTGTCTTTGGAGTAGATTAGACTTGGGCATAAATTCAGAAATCAGTTAAGAACGAAACCCAAAAAGTAAATTAATGTTCTTATTATAGAAAAGACAAACAAAATTGTTTCTTAAAATAACAATATGTATATAAGCAAGATCGTGCTTAATTTTCTTTAATTTAAAGAAATGGTATGCGCAATTTAGAACCTGATATAACAAAAGCATATCCAAAATAATAATAATAATAATAATAATAATAATAATAATTCCAGAACTTGAAGTGCCTTTTGAAAGCTTGGTCCTACTTTGAAAATCTACAAAGGGAAAAATTGTAAACCCAAATTAAAGCTTCTTCTCGTACTCAAGAAAAATGGAAACTTTATATGGAAAAAAAAATTGAAATTCTGCGTAATTAAAAGTGGATCAAAACTCTAAATAGATTATCTTAAAGCATATGAGATCGTTGTTAGAATTTGGAAACAATTGAAACTTCATTTTAAAACACAGACTTAATCAATTGATTTATATTTAAACGGAAAGAAAGTAGTTGTCAGTTTTACCTATCGTTTGTTTAGTGTCGCTCAATTTCCAATTTGTATTAAAAGCTTGAATTTTTACTTTCCTTCCATTCCCCTGTGCATAATAGTCCAGTAGCTCTTGTTTACCTACAACAAATTGAAAACCATTTGAGGAAATAACTAAGCCTTTAGTTTTTAGATTCTTGGTAGGCAAAGCAAGAAATTTACACACAACAAAACTATTAAAACTTTAAAATCCAATTCCCAAATTAGGTTCTCGACTGGCTAATGATCATATTGGATGTAAATTATCATCCCGAACATTGTAATGCTTGATTTTTTTTATTTTTTTTATTTTTTTGGGACATTCTAGTTAATCATTAATTAACTGAAGAATACAATTCGTAGAACAATAATTAGCATATAAAACTAAAGGGAACAAAATACCAAAATTTGCAGTTAACAACATAGAGCTAAGTGAAAAATACAAAAAATAAGGATAGGAAGGCAACCAAAATGTGAATCTTACCTGGGTTTGGTCATGCTTCTATCAAGTGCTGCCCTTAACTAACGAAATAAGCAATCTCTTCACGTAGCACATTTAGTCATCAATCCCTTACACACACACACACACACACAAACAAAGATATTATGTATTACATTCTAATTTTTCTTTACTTAAATTTTCATTCTATTTCTTTATGTGTGTAAACTTACACTAATTCTCCATAATTTTCAGTCAATTCCATTGTAATTAAAATAAATATTGAGTATATACACACTTATAAACACACAAAATTCAGTTTTCCATACGAAAGCACATACGTCAAATCAATGTTCCTACTGTATTCATTTAATCAAATGATGCATCAAATATAATAATTAAATTATACCTCTAATTTATAACCTTTTGATTTCGCTTCATCTGCAGCTAAAACCAAAATTTAGACAGTCCCCAATATAATTCTGTCAAATAGAAGATAGCAACACCATGTAAAAGTCATATTGGGTGTCCACACCCACACTTATACTTTACAAATAAATTTGAACTTTTGAATCACTTGGGCTTCAAAAATATTTGCACATAAATTCGAAAGAAGATGAATAAATTAAAGAAAAATCATATCTACTGGCAATTCAGACTGACCTAGAGTTGCTATCGAGCTCTGCCGAAGACAACTCTGCACTGTTGACAAAGTCTAGAACAACCTGGAAATTTAAAGAGATCAAATTTAAGGCCAAATAAGCAATCATTTACTGAAAATCTTCACAAAAAAGTGCTAGTTTCACAAATAAATGAAACCCAGATTAAATTTCTTGATAAAAACTAAGAACTTCAAAGCTTAAGAAAACCCATGAATCCAACCATAAAAAATATGCAAACTTTCGCACTGGCAAACCATTCATAAACCAAAAATGATATCTTAAACAAAACACATAAATCCAACTCAAAAAAGCTCAAATTTAAAACAACCAACACAAACAAAATATCAAACATGGTTCATTGTCTCTCTTTGCATTTTAAATCACATAGTGTTGCCCAATATATTATCGTATTAACATTTCATATACTCATGCATTAGATAAAAAATTATATCTATGTTAAAATTACATGGACTGCTTTATCATGGTTTAAGAAAGCAACCACAAATCATAGTATCTACATGTTCCTCAAATTATCTAAAATACTAAAACAAAACCCTCACTTCTCACTACATGTTTAAGATATATGAACCCATACAAACCTCTTCACCATTCACCAATACCATTGGTGCTAAAAAACCAAAAGAAAAAAAAATCATTAAATAAGATGGCCACTAACCAAAGCATCCTTTGAACAAATTAAGAAATTCAAATAAAATTAAACACCCAAAAAAAAAAAGAAACACACACAAAAAAGATATGCTTGAATTGTCAAGGAAATCAAGATACTAATAAATATAAAGATAAGTTTGAATTTTTAACCAAATAAAAAAATAAAAAAATAAGACAAAGCATTTCCAAACGTTGATTATGTCTGATGAGTTAATGCTATGTGATTGCCCTGGATTAGTCTTTCCATCCTTTTCAAGCCATGAGATGATTGGTTCTGGTGTATTACCAAGAATATGGAGGCTGCGCTGATACTGGCCAATTGAGTTCCAAGACATGTTATTGAAGCGGTTTGCAGGATTGATCTGCCCAAACCCAAATCGTATGAAATACGAAGAAACAGAGAATAAAAGGGAAAATGTATTATAGCATACTATGTCCTGCTTCATACATATGTCCTGCTTCATACATATTTAATCCTTCAATTAAACACACATTTCCTTTTCATCAAAATTAGCATGAATATAATAGTGCTTCCAGCAGAAAATAAAAGGAAAAAATGACAACCGAAAAAAATTGGCAACCCAAGACATATAAGTTTAGAACAGGGCAAACAATGACAACCCAACAAAACCAAAGATTTAATTAAATAAAGCATAATTCAGTTTAAATCTCATAATTTATTTATTTCATTTTCTGACCAATCAAACAAAGCATCATAGAAGAAAGAACCAACACCAAAAAAAAAAAAAAAAGTTAAATACCTTGATCGCAAACAGCTTGCAAGGTTGCAGACAGAAAGGCCAAAATTCAAACAACTTCTTTTGCTGAAACCAAATATGAAAGCAGATCAGAAAGGCAGACCCAAAGCACGAAAAAACAATCAAACAACATACAATCAGAAAAGCAGAATACTCACCAAAAAGCCTTAGATCGCATCGATAACTTTTCCTGAAACCAAAAATCAAACCGCATCGCAAAGCCACACCCAAACAACGAAAAAAAATTGAAATTAGACATGGCAAGAACTGCAAAAAACTCACCAGAGATCGTTAGTTTTCCGAGAAGAAAACGGCCTTGAATAATCGGCGAGACAAAGACGCGAAGGACGGATAGCGAGAACAACAAAGGCGTGGGAGAGAGAAAAAACCTAGGCTCCAAAATAAGGAAAAGCTGAAAATGGTGATAGAGAGAGAAGGGAACCCAAAGAAAAGGCAGAGTAGAAATGGAGCGGAAGAACCACTGTTGACAGACGCGTGGTTTCCAAGGGCAGAATCGTCATTGTACTGTAGAAAAAGCTAAAAGATACTGCTGGTTGGAAAAAAATTGGAGGGCATTTCCGTCATTTTACTGTTCACAAACAGTGAAAAACAGTGCACCCGAGTTTGGGTTTTAGTATATGTATAATTTTGAAACTATGTGCAAATTAAATAACTTAAAAGAAACTAGTGAAAATAAATTGCATGGTTGGATGTTTGTAGAAAACATATGTTTTTGTGTCCAAACCTTGTAACGTGTCCGACCCCTTGAAAGTTACACAAAATGAATTGATGAATATCTCCTCTTGGCACTAGTATGAAAATTCTTATTAACTACTCCATATTGTCTCTTAAAAAAATCACAAAATGTTAGTTACTTGTAATACAAATATCTACTTGAATAAATATATGAAGGTAACACACATTGTTGGAATTTAGGATTATTTTGTTATTTGAATTTGAGCTTAGCCTATTAGTATTAGAGTTTTGTTTTCTTGTTTATTAGGATTATGTTAGTTCTCTATATATATGATGTTTTGTAGCTCGTAGATGAAAAAAAAGTTATTCACAATGTAGTCTCTTAGGGTTTTGTAGCCGTTTCGACATTTTCAGTTAGTTTAATAATATTCTTATTATTTTGTTAGTCTTGTTCGTTGTGCATTTTGATATTCAACTTGGTATCAAAGCAGGTTTGATCATTCAGGATTGAATCAATTCTTGGTAGCTAGTTTGTTTGTCTTGTCACGTTCCTCTTCTTCGTTGTGGTTTGTCGTGGTGCCCTAGTTAGGGTTTTGTTGCTTAAAAAAAAAAAAGAAAAAAAAATTGAATCTGTTTGTTGCATCACGTCATCGTCTTCTTCTACACTCGAAACAACCGCCACAAACCTGCATCACCATCCACACGTGCTGATCTGCAGAACCATCCACCACCGTTGTTGCTCGACGACCACCCGCCACCACCGCTGTTTCTAACTTGCATGCTGTTGCACCATGAACCAGACCCACATCGTACCCACACCTTGTTGCCTACCTACAACCCCAACTCGACCAGTCGATCTGACCAATCCACCACACCATTGCTACACCTTTGTCTCGCACCGCTGCTGTACCTGCTGCCATCCCTGACTCCAGATGCTTCGCTCATTGACCTGCTGCTGCACATCTGTCGCTATGCTTACCAAGCCCACCTGATTAGATTTGTTGAACCCAACAACCTGCATCAAACTCGCCATCACGCCCACCAGAAAACAAAAAAAAAAAAAAAAAAGGAAAAAAAGAAAAAGAAAAAAGGAGAAAAAAAGGAGCTTGCCTTGTCTTGTTCGCCTAACAGAGCTTGCCTTGTTGTGTCCGTCTAACGAAACTTGCCTTGTCGTGTCCGCCTAATGAAGCTTGTCTTGTCTTGTCTGCCTAACGGAACTTGTATCAGCATCTGCTTGTTGGCAAACTTATGATGTGTATCACTATAAGTTTGATGGGGGATGTTGGAATTTATGATTATTTGTTATTTGAATTTGGGTTTAGCCCGTTAGTATTAGGGTTTCGTTTTCTTGCTTATTAGGGTTAGGTTAGTTCTATATATATATATGATGTTTTGTAGCTCATAGATGAAAAAAAGTTATTCACAATGTAGTCTCTTAGAGTTTTGTAGTCGTTTCGGCATTCTCAGTTAGTTTAATAATATTCTTATTATTTTGTTAATCTTGTTCGTTGCGCACTCTGATATTCAACTCACATGAATCAAAAAAACAAGAACCGAGATGGCCATTTGTCTACTTCTCCTCAAATATATTTGTGAGTTTTTTCGATTTCCGACAAGTTGAACTATCGTGAGGAAATTATTAATTGATTTTTTTTTAATAAAAAACAAAAGAGGAAAATAGGAGGTAACACATGATACAGAAAAGTAGAAACTGTTATTAGGAACTTTTGATTTTTTTTATGTTTTATGTTTTGTCATCTTTATTAGAAAAAAAAGACACATTTTGTGAAATTCTTTTCCTCAATACCTCACTTTCACCATCTGTCTTCCTTTCTCTCTCTTCAAGAATCAAGATGGCCTTGAAACCCCACCAATAGCTCTCTCTCTCTCTCTCTCTCTCTCTCTCTCTCTCTCTCTCTCTCTCTATATATATATATATATATCCAGTACAAGATTATCTACATAAAATATAAAAGCTTTGTGGGTCTCTTCGAAGTCCTCTGAGATCTACTGCCTGTGTAGGACTTTAGATTAGGAGATAGAGATTGGAAGAGAAACTGAAACAGAACATTATAAGTGAAAGGGAAGGCTCACAGAGGAAGGTTGAGGTAAAGCTATAGCATTTCGAAAACCCTAAAAACTCATGAGCCAAAGGCCCCAACTTTCTGTGGTTTTGTACTTTGATTGATCAATTGATTGTATCGTCTTCCTCGATTTTTGTGTACATGGCTTCTGGGTTTTGCTTGTCTTGGTGCCTCAGATCCATGGCAATGGATTCTGATGTCCTTCTCAGCGTACTGGGATTCTAGGGTTTTGGGATGTCTTTCAACTGTGAGTTATTATTGTTTTGGGACTTGTATGTGCCATGTTGATTCTGTTTATGTTTGGTTTTGTTTTCTAATGTAGGGGAAGGATCTGACATGGGTTTGGAGCTGGGTTTTTGCATTTCTGCTTGAATATGTTGAGTTGGAGTTTGATTGGTTGCTCTTAGATTCTTGTTAAGGTTGTTTTTGTTGTTCTGTTTTAGTTTTTTCGATTGACCATTTTATTTTTGGAAGATAAGCATGTTTTGGAGATGAATTGTTTTGGTGCATATGATGTCATCAAATGTGAATTAGTCATACAAATAGGTTGTGAAGATGCTTTGATTTTGATACCAGCCCTTTTCTTTGGTGCATCAAACTAATGTGATTTTGTGGATCAGGATTGATGCCAAAGGCAGAGTACCGAATGATTGGAGCGGTTGAAGTTCGTTCCATGGATGGAGTTGAGACCGTCTGTTAATTTTGCTCTGTAATTATAGTAATTGGCTCGAAGTTTCGCGAGGATTGTATGGACACTCTTGTTTATTCTCAGGATATGAATAGAAAATTTAGTGGGCTAAAGTTTACCATGCAATGGAAACCAATTGGATGTGGTTTAATGATAATGTAGTAGCCATTTGGAAAAGTTAGGTTTGATCTCCGCAACTGTATTAGAATAGCCTGCGCTACTTATCTGGATCTTCATTTGTTGCACTTTCTTTACCTATTTATGTCCTCCAAAGACAGTAGATTGGGTTCATGTATTGTGGCATATTAAGTTGGTGCTAGTGCTTTTTTCTCTCCTGCTGCCTCGGTTTGTGAGTCTAGTTTTGCAGAGTAGTTCAGGAAGGCCATCCGTAATCCATTGGACTGGAAATTTGGTTTCTCCTAGAGTTGATAGCTATGGAATCCGCCAATCCTAATGCTAACATTATACCGGGTGTTCTACAGCGGTTGATTCCTGTTGTTGGACCTGTGCTTCTGATTTCAGTTGGATATATTGACCCTGGAAAGTGGGCAGCAACTGCTGAAGCAGGTGCCTGTTTTGGATCTGAACTTGCAGCATTGATGCTTATTTTCAATTTGGCAGCTATTTTATGTCACTATCTGTCAGCTCGGATTGGTGTAGTCACAGGAAGAGATCTTGCACAGGTATCATTTTTCTCATTTAAGGGTTTTTTTTTAATGCATAATTCTTCTTATAAGTGGTATTGGTGGAGGCGCTATTACTTATGCATATACTCTGTTTGCAATCATGCTTTTGAGCTGCGTCCTAACCAGGATAACTTTTATAGTTGCATCTCGTTATTTGATTGGCTATGCAGTTGGTTTTTTGATCTCTCTGTCTGTGTTTCTCCCTCTGTCTCTGTTTCTCCTTTGTTCAGACAATTATGTACGCATAGGATATGCAGTGAGGAGTATGACATTTTCTTTTTATGTTAAGTCGACAAGTGTTAACATCTCCTTTCTCTTTCTTAAATTTTGTTAATGTCAAAAGATATGCAGTGAGGAGTATGACAAAGGCACTTGCATATCCTTAGGAATTCAAACTGAGGTTTCTGCGATCCTGTCAGACCTAACCATGGTAATTTCTCTATCATGACCAACTTACCCCACCTCCAATTTGTCAAAACTATGTGGTAGCTGCTGTAGGTGTTGCATTAAGTTATGATCTGTATTATTGTTAACAATTCTCGTAACGTATGATTGCACTAATTTTACCAGGTCCTCGGCATTGCACATGGGCTTAATCTTCTGTTTGGTTGGGACTTGTTCACTTGTGTCTTTTTGACTGCTGTTAATGCCGTTCTATACCCTCTTTTTTCCACCTTCCTGGTAATTTCTGTTACTTGCATTTATTCCTCTGTCGCATTTGCAATAATGTTTACAATGACGATGGAGTATCCATATTCCAGGAAACTTGCAAGGTGAAGGTTGTATGCATATATGTTACAGGATTTATACTCCTTTCCTTTGTTCTTGGAGTAATTATCAGTCAACCAGAAATGCCCCATTCCATGAATGGGATGCTAACAAAGCTGAGTGGGGAGAGTGCATTTGCACTGATGAGCCTTCTTGGAGCCAGCATAATGCCTCACAGTCTGTATTTTCATTCTTCTATTGTGCAGGTATCTGTACTTCTCATTCTCCCCTGTTTCGGTCTCTGCATTTACGTTCACATCCATGCAGATATTGCTGGATATGAGCTTGTGCAAGCATCTGTATCTTGTTATGTATACACACATTGATTCTTTTGTTGTATGCTGTTTTGTCTGTGCATATTTGGTTTTACACAATTGCTCATTGCAGATGCAGATTGTTTCATATGGGAAATTTTGGTTTAATTCAAATTGGTAGCAAATGTTTCTCCCGTGTGTTGGATGTATAATGGTTTTCAACAGTTGACTTATTTAGATATACATTTAATGCATGGATATGCAGTGTCCATCTTTTTCTTGTTTTTCAAGATTACTTTCCTAGGACATGCTGCTGAGTCATCTATTCCCTTCACTTGAAAGAACTTCCTTACAAAATAATGCAATTAAAGACAAATGGTGCCATTTTCGATTGTCATTGGAGGTTGTTGGAGACCGCCGAGTTACACATGCTCATACTTCTTTCATAAGTAGAAAGGAAAAAGTTCCATTAACGGGAGATTGATATTCTCTTGCTCGACTAGGGAGCCAAAAAGCAATCAATTTTAATTTGTGCTTCAACTAATACACTTGCATCACTCGTGTCTGTTAACTACTTGAAAATTGTTCATATGATAATTAATTTGCAGTGACGGTCTCTAAAACTCCAATTTTCTAATTTTTCAGCAATATCAGCAGCAGGCAACTGTTCCCAAGGGTGCTTTGTGTCATAACCATTTAGTTGCCATCATATGCATCTTCAGTGGTATTTATATGGTGAATTATGTCCTTATGACCTCAGCAGAAAATTTATTCTACAGTCCAGAGGCAAGTTCAGGGCTTGTTCTTACGTTTCAGGATGCAATGTCACTAATGGAACAGGTTACACTTTCTTCCCCTGAGCCAATTTAATCCTGCAATATCATGCACCATTCTGAGCCAATTAAATCCTTTTCTGAAATTATGCAGGTCTTTTGGGGTCCAATAGTGCCGGCTTCCTTCTTACTGGTTCTCGTTCTGTCAAATCAAATTACAACATTAAGCTGGAGTCTGGGTGGGGAAGTAGTCCTGAATGAATTTTTGAAAGTGGACCTTCCTGGTTGGCTTCATTGTGCTACAATCAGAATTATTGCCATTGTTCCAGCCCTTTATTTTGTTTGGAGTTCGGGAGCTGAAGGAATGTATCAACTGCTTATATTCACACAAGTTTTGGCAGCTCTGCTACTGCCACCTTCTGTGATCCCTATTTTTCGAATTGCTGCTTCAAGACCAAGAATGGGCGTCCATAAAATTTCTCAATTTGTTGAATTCTTATCCCTGATTACGCTTATTGGGATGCTTGGATTGAAAGTTATATTTGTAGTAGAAATGATTTTTGGGAATAGTGAATGGGGTGGTATCTTGAGGTCGAACAGTGGTAGTAGTATGTCACTATTCCTCACTGCTTGTGCATCATTTTGTTTGATGATTTGGCTGGCAGCTACCCCATTAAAATCTGCGAGTGTCCGACTAGAGGCTCAGGTGTGGAACTGGGAACTGAAGGGTACATCAGATTTGTTGAAAAATGAAGAGGAGAGTAATATAGCTGGACCTCAGTATCAGAGAGAGGCAAGTGTCCAGAACCATGAACCATCACCATCATTTGGGTTGGATGCTGATTCAGAAGTTGCAAATTTTGATCTTGATCTGCCTGACACTATCGTGGAGGCTGATCAGGAACTTAACCAAACAACTGTAGCGGAGAATAGTAATTCTCATATTACCTTTCCTAGCTCCCCTAAAAGCTGCATGGAGGGATCCACATTTGCAGTGGAGTCAGTTCCAGTCGCAACTGTCGTTAATGATGTTTCTGATGTCACATTGGAGGACACCAGTGCACTGAAGGTCAAGTCAACAGAAATTGAGAAGACAGTTGAAGTTGAAGGAGTTGAAGGAGACTTACCAACTGAAAAAGATGACGATGAGGGAGATAACTGGGAGCCTGAAGAATTATCAAAAGGGGTTTCTGGGAGCACTGCACCATTGGCCTCCGAGGGATCAGGATCCTTTAGGAGTCTAAGTGGAAAAGGTGATGATTTGGGGAGCAGTGCAGGAAGCCTTTCAAGATTAGCAGGGTTGGGGCGTTCTGCAAGACGTCAACTAGCTACTATGCTTGATGAATTTTGGGGACAACTGTATGATTTCCATGGGAATGTAATTCAAGACGCAAAGGCTAAGAAGCTGGACCTTTTGTTGGGATCAGATTCAAAGGCGGTGTCCTCCTCGCTGAAAGTTGATACTGATGCAAAAGAATCTTTGGGATACTTTCCATCTCTAGGAGGCAGAGGATCTGATTCTCTTATCAACTCAAGTTTATATGACTCTGCAAAGCAGCATAGGGTTCAAAGCAGTTTAGAGTCATATGCGGTCCAAAGGGGATCTTCCCCATTGTTGCCCAGCCACATGCAGTTGTTAGATGCCTATGTACAAAGTTCAAGCCGTAGTATTATTGACTCTGATGAGAGGCACTATTCAAGTGTGTGCAGTATCCCAACTTCTGAGAGTGGTGGGAAGCGCTATCCAAGTATGCGCAGTATCCCAACTTCTGAGAGTTGGGATTACCAGCCAGCTACAGTACATGGTTATCAGATTGCATCATATCTCAATCGATTGTCAAAGGAAAAAAATTTTGATAACTTGAACGGTCAAATGGAGCCATCAATCCTAAAGTCCGGTTCTTCGTTGGGTGCTGGAAACTACAGAGATTCACTTGCATTTACCATGGGGCAGAAGTTGCAAAATGGGTTAGGATCTGGTCAGGCCTCCAATTTTCAGAACTTTACAGTATCTAGAAATAGTCCAATGCAATCTGAAAGACCGTATTATGATCCATGCTCTTCTGGAATTGTTGAGAATGTGGTAAGTCCAGCCAATGCAAAGAAATACCATAGTTTACCAGACATTCACCGGGAGCTTTACATGCCTGATAAAAATGCTAACTGGGAAAGTCCTCTCGGGTATGGATCATCTGCTGGGATGGCTGGTTATGAATCATCCTTTTATTCAAATTCTGGGGCACGAACAAGAGCTCCTTTGGCTTTTGATGAACTCTCTCCAAATGTCTACAATTCTCTGTCATCACAACAGAGTTCTACTTTTAACGCTGGTTCACTCTGGTCTAGACAGCCTTTTGAGCAGTTTGGTGTGGCTGATACTAGTCGTACTATTGGTAGTGGAATTGGTAATAGGGTAGGTTCAGTAAATCAAGAAACTACTTCAGTTGCATATTCAGAGGCCAAGCTTCTTCAGTCTTTCAGGCATTGCATTGTGAAGCTTTTGAAATTGGAAGGGTCGGACTGGTTGTTTACACAGAATGATGGGGTTGATGAGGATCTAATTGATCGTGTGGCTGCAAAGGAGAAATTTCGTTATGAAGCTGAAACTAGAGTGATAAATCAAACAGGTCAAGTGGGCGAGCTTCAGTACTGTTCTTCAGATACGGAGTCTGCTTCAGCATTGAAGAATAATGATTCGAGTTATATTATGATTTCCTCAGTTCCACATTGTGGGGATGGTTGTATATGGAAGGAAGATTTGGTAGTAAGCTTTGGGGTTTGGTGTATCCATCGCATTCTTGATTTGTCACTTATGGAAAGCCGGCCAGAGCTATGGGGGAAATATACCTACGTCCTCAACCGACTTCAGGTAAACAATTAAAATCTCTGTCTAATAAACTACATTCGTGTCTCAAATTTTGCAATAACAAAAATGAAATCAAACCACAGCATGAATAGAAATCCTAGAATAAATTAAATTAAGTAAACCCTAAATGGACTGAATTGGTTCTGACACTCCTCAAGCCGCTGTAGAAACATGCCTTGAACACAACTTAGAATCTTTGTGGAACAGATCTTCCAATTTCAAAAGCTACGTCGGACAAATCTTTGTTTGAGCACAACAACATTTCCATAACCTGAGCCCTATTTACTCTTTTTTTGGTCTAATCAATGTAAAAACTTTTCTTTTGGACGTTGAACTTTGACTGCTTTGTATACTACATTGTAGGCTTCTTATAAGGTTTGTTTATTGCTGCTTAGTGCGAGAGGAGGATTATACATGATTAGCATGGTGAAATACATGAGTTTTGTATATTTGGTGAATTGTACTGGAGTTTCTCTCCTTGCATTGCACTAATGCTACTTCTGTATAAAAGCAGATTAACTTCAAATGTATATTTATTTCCAAAGCTTCTTAATCAGTAGTGTTACTGGCTCTGTATCTTGTTAATTCTAGGGGATTATTGATTCGGCATTTTCAAAGCCTCGTTCTCCAATGTCACCATGCATCTGCCTTGAAGTTCCCACGGCACACCAGCTGCAATCGAGTCTGTCATTTTCTAATGGAATACCTCCTCCTGCGAAACCAGCCAGGGGAAAATGCACAACGGCAGTAACGCTTCTAGACATAATCAAGGATGTGGAGATTGCAATCAATTCTCGAAAGGGCCGAACAGGGACAGCAGCTGGTGATGTAGCTTTCCCGAAGGGAAAAGAAAATCTGGCATCTGTCCTCAAACGCTACAAGCGTAGATTATCCAACAAAACTGTTGGCACTCATGAGGGTCCTGGTTCGGGCAAGTCTCTGACATCTGCTCCTTATGGGTAAATAACTCTCAGTTTCATACACAGACACAGTATGTCTCAACTGGGCTATCGAGCTGTTTGATTCTGGAAAACGGCTAATCTTCTGGATCGAAACGCTCAGTTAAGACAGTTTCTCTCACTGTATCAAAGCCGTCGCTGCAATTTGTATTTCCTAGTATTTTAACATATACATAGGTAAGAATTGCTGGATCTGTAATTGCAGCATTATCAAAGAAAATGGGTGGAAGGTTGAAAATTGGTTGTTGCATATTTTGAGTTACTTTGCCTGCTTGCTTGCATCTGTTACTTTTTCCGATAAGATTGAAATTCGAAAACGCCAGGGGTTTTTCGTTCGTCTCTCCTTCCATTGCAGGAAGTTATGGGGATGGGATGTAATCCAAGGTGCTGCTGACATGAAACAAATGAACATGAATGCAAATACTAATCCGCCAGTTAACAACTTTGGCAGGAAAATACTTCGATTTTGAGTATTTAGACCATTTTGGTCACTCGTCTCCTTAATTTTGTGCCCTAAATTATCAAGTTGTGGAGCGTGAGATTGGTAGTTCAGTTGGTTAGGAGCATTTAATATCGGCATGTAAAGTTCCGAGTTTGTATTCCTCCTCAGAGTATCGCTTGTATGTACGGGTGTTTGTGCTAGTGAGTCGATTCGGCTGTGTCCCATATAATGTAGTTGTAGTCACCAACCAGACCATCCCATCTTTTATCAATTCGGGAAAGGATTTTGGGAAGAGGAATATTTGGTATGCCGAAATGAATTCATGGGAAATGATTTTCCGTCTTTTCTTAGGGGAAGGGAAATACAAAATTATTTCGTCAGTATTTTGTAACGTTGAGAAAGTTGGTGGGAAATATCACTTTTTTGAGATATAATGTGAATTTTAAATTGTCAACGGGAACATTTTTATCATAAAAAGATATCAATTAGTGCATTTTATTTTTGTTTCCCTTGGGGAAGGAAAGTGAATACAAGGGGAGCAGTAGTATTCACTTTTTCACCTGTTGGTGGGGAAGTCATTTTTTTTTTCAAGTCCAGACTTTCTAAATATGGGGAAGACAGCAGTTTTTTAGTCCTCAACTCTTTTCCGCACACCAAACGTAGCCTAAAGAGAAATATAACCGTTTTTTTTTTACTCCGACACTTTTCTCTTTATTTTTTTGTTAATCAAATGGAATAAATCAAACAAAACTAATGAACAAACTAAATAAGAGTAGAAAAAAAAAAGAGTGGTTGTTATTTTCGATCACTAAAAATTAACTCAAAAGTCACTAATTTTAACACTCTTATAAACAAAACAATAATACTACTTTAATTTATACTAACATTTGTCTACATACTTTGTGTGTATGAACATAATTTTTTAGAGAATGAGGAGAGAGAGAGAGAGAATGTGGGGGGAGTGAGAGATTTTTTTTATTTTTATTTTATTTTTAATTTTAAATATTAAAGATGTTTTAACATCACCGATAGGTGAGATTTTAATAAAAAAACAGTAAAATTTAGACTTGTGAAATTACATTATTGCCCATCATTTTTTTTGTGTGATAAAAGACTAAGTTGTCTTTTCACCATTTTTTTGTTGACAAAGAGAGTTTCATTAATTAATAGAGATTAGCATATGGGCACACACCAAGTGTGATAAATTTTTTTATTTTTGTTTTTGAAATAGAAGGAGAGAGGAAGAAAGTAATAGAGAATGTGGGGTGGGAAGTTTTTTTTTTTAATTTTTTTATAATTTTTTTATAATTAGAGATATGTTATGATTATATGTAGGTGAGGCTTTGAAAAAAAAAAGCAAAATTTGGTTGTGTGAAATTACATTTCTGCCATATATTTCTTATTCATAAGATTTTAGTTGACAATACGTGTTTTATTAATAAGTAGAAATTAGAAAGAGCAGAAAAGTTTGAATTCGAAACACAATGCAGCAAAAGAAAGACCCTAACCACCGTAACAATTAACCGCTTGCTAACATCCTTTAACTGCTTCCACCTTTGAGCGAGTGCAGAAAAAGTAGTAAAAGTTCTTATTTCAGAAGCCAACATTTTTCTAAGAAACGAAAGAGCAGTCAATCTTTCAGTATTATAATAAAATTGCAGTTGGAGCAAGTGAACGAGTGAGGACTTTAGTTTATTTAAGTCGCTGCTTTGTTGACATTACAAGATAGATATGGCATAACCTTGACAACCAGTGGCGTGTATAGTTCATCAGCAGCTCCCTCTCACGTGACCCCATGTCCACGGTCAGATTCCTGACACGTGGGGAGCTTACAGGCCGCATCCTGAGCTCAACCGAGTGATCTGGTTGGACATGATGTGTTCATCATCATCATCTCTTTCTGTCTTAGTCTTTGAAGCTTTAGTTCCAGGCTTCACAGAATCTTTCAGGTAATCTTTTGCTTAGTTTGGAAAAATCAAAGGCACACTCCAGACTAAAGCCCAAGAGGTAAGTCCTGTCCATGAGAATTGGAATCATTTGGACTTTTGAGTTCCTTGTGCTTACTAACATGAGTATAGGAGTGGTTTCACTTCATTTACTTTCTTTTGTGTTTTACTAAAATAGAATCGAAAAGATGTGAGTTCCCACTGAAATCCGTAATTAAACATCTGAAAATCAAGAATCTGATTTCTTTTCCTTGCATCTACAGTTTCTAAGTTCTTCGATTCCTTCTTTATCCCATTGCATTGTTGTTAAGTGGACATACCATTAGTTTATTGATTCAGTAATTCCGTCTATGAGATCTAATAAAGTAGAGACTGAATACCACTAGACTAACTAATCATTTGCGTAACAATTTTAGCTAATCTTATGGGATTTATAGATGGAATTACTTGATGAATCCATGTTTCATTAACAAAGTAAATATGTATTTTGATTAGTTGATGAATCCATGTTTCATTTAACTTTCAATCTAAGTGCATGATTTGTGATATGCAGAGACTCTTTAGCTTCAAATCAAATGGGATACATAATTGTGGTATCAGCGCCGGTTATACTGTTCATAATGATTGTAGCCCTTGCATTTTACCTCCTTGGTAGGGCAACGGGCCGAAGACAATCATCTACTGCTCCACAGTATTTTGGGCCTCCGGTGCCTCCACCCCAAGAGAAGTTCCCCGAGGTCTAGACGTATTATAATCAGCTCAGTTTTCTTTTCATAGTTTGACATGTATGCATAAACTTTTGTGTTTGTAGCTTAATGAGTATACATTTGTGTACAAGTCAACCCAAGAATATAAGGAGGAACGAGAACCATTTTGAGAGTGCTAAGTTATGTATGACTCATGTCAAGGTTAGGATTCTGACGTGTTCTAAAGGATCTACCTCTTTGGTCTTTTCTTTGGTTCCTTCTACGTCAAGTGCTCTTGTTTTTGAGACTTTAGGTCTTTTTCCTTTGTTGTATACTGATCGTGTTTCATCCCTATTGTATGGAAACCTCCTATGTTGGGGTGGACCAAGGTAAATACTAATCCGTCATGTAAGTCTATAGGCCATGCAGGTGGTTGTTTTTTTTTTTTTTTTTTTTTTTTTTTTTAAGGGTAAAACACCATGACAGAACATGGTGAAACTTTTATTACTAACGGAACAAATTTACAAAGGCCCAATACATGTACACAAAGCAAAATGGGACCTTCCAAACTAAACAACAAACACCTAACCAAATGATTAGGCCCAAAACACACACAAACCGTAGGAAACCCTAGTCCTTCTGCTACTAATGCCGCCCCAGTTCCTTTTGATCAGCTTGACCCATCTAACCCGATGAACTCCAAAATTTGAACTAACAACGCCTCAAAGAAGGTAGGAAAGAAGACTCCATCATCCAGTAACCAGTCCTGTTGATGCACAAAATCAGTGAGGACTTTGGTACAACAGAAAGTGTCAAGTTTATGACCTTTGCTAGATTGCTTTGGTCATTAGTGTGGATAAGTATGCAAATGGATAGGGACAGGAAAACAAACACAAGATGTACGTGGTTCACCCAGATTGGCTACGAACACAGAGTAGAGGAGTTCTCGTTAATTGTGAAGGGTTTACACAAGTACATAGGTTCAAGCTCTCCTTTTGTGAGTACTAGTGAATGATTTAGTACAAATGACATTAGGAAATATTGTGGGAGAATGATCTCCTTTTATAGAAGAGAGTTTCTAGTTTTGTTTTGACATTGACACAAGTCGTGTTATGATTGGCTTCTGATGTCGACACGTGTCATGCTGTGATTGGCCTCCTGGTTAGAGGGAAACTCTTCTGGGTCATTGACGGTATAACGTTGACCGGTGCTCAGTAGTTTCGGGATTAGTCAAGTATGATACAAACAGTGCTCCCTTAAGTTCTTGAGTGAGGGAAGCTCCTCGGTTGGGGACTTGCAAGATCTAAGCCGCTGAGTAATCACGAAACTTCTAAGTACCGAAGTGTGGTATCGTTTTTACCTTATCTGTCTCATAGGTAGATGTGGTATCTTCTATGGAAGTATTTTTCCTCCATCTAGGGGTGGTATCTTTAACCGGTGGAGATGCACAAGGTAATGTATCAATTTCACTTGAAGCTTACTTGTAGTTTCAGGCTTGGTCAAACGCGATACAAACCATGTAGTAGGAGTCCCCCAAGTCGCCGACCTAGGAGATTTTCCTAAAGAGGTGACAGACAACGTAAGCAATCAGAGTTCCCAGCAATCAGTTCTAGATCAGAAGTTTGATTTCGAGTTCCAGCTGATTGTTCTCATTCTCTCTATCTTGCAGGTAGTGGGAAGGATAAAAAGAAGAAAAAGGAAAAGAGATGATATGAGATACTTTTGCTTTTGAAGAAGTAACTTTTCACAGGCTTATTCTTGAACTGGGCTGGAGGGTTTTCTGGTTTCCTCTAGAGTATAAGGCCGACTCAAGAATTTGAGGGTCAAAACAAGTCCATTAAATCAAGAGTGCGTTGGACCTTGATGATATGAGATACTTTTACTATTGACAAAGTAATAGATGAATCAGCACGTGTTCTGTTGCGCTTGTCTCCACATGCTTCCTTGTATCCTTCTCACTTGCCCTATCTATTCCTCAGGTAGATGTGGTATCTTTTCTGGAAGCATAAAATGTTGATGATGAGTACTCGAGAGCAATGCCAGGTAAGTAATCAGGCAAGGAGTTCTAGGTTGTCAGTTCTTTACTGAAAGCTTGATTCTAAGTGCTGACTGATTGTTCTCTTTCTCCTTGTCTTGCAGGTAAGAACAAGGCCAAAAGAAAAGATAGGGAAAAAGCATGATATGGGATACTCTTACTTTTAACCCTGATGATATGAGATACTCTTGCTCTGGTGTGGCTTGTTTGCAGAGGTAATATCGGGGGAAAAAAAACTGTGTATTTCAAGAGACTTTGCTGAGAGTGACCTTTCGGATGTGAAGAAAAGTTGAGCATTTTTTTATTTGCAGGTCTGCCTGGCTGTGGAGGATGAAGGTCGACATATATAGGAATTGTCCCAACAACGAGTGGTAACGCTGTTCCTTTACCCTTCTCGGTCACATGTTTTAACTTTGTTAGAGCACTTTGAAAAAGTGGTCTGTGGTATCTGGAAAGCTGATGTTGCGTGTGAAGATTGCAGACAAGCTTTATCAAAGGAAATATGGCTTTCGAAGTTCGGAGAACGGTGCCTCTTTGATTTTCGAACAAGCAATCCTGTCAGGGATTTGGCTCTCGAGATTCGGAGAACAGTGCCTCTTCGATTTTTGAGAAAGCAATCCTGTTGGGAGTCTGGATCTTGAGATTCGGAGAGTAGTGCCTTTTTGATTTTTGAGAAAGTAATCCTGTTAGGAGTCTGGTTCTTGAGATTCGGAGAGCGGTGCCTCTTCGATTTTTGAGAAAGTAATCCTGTTGGGAGTCTGGCTCTTGAGATTCGGAAGGTAGTGCCTCTTTGATTTTTAAGCAAGTAATCCTGTTGGGAGTCTGGCTCTCGAGATTCGGAAAACGGTGCCTCTTCGATTTTTGAGCAAGCAATCTTGTTGGGAGTGTTTTCTCGAATATGAGTAAAGGTTAGGCATTTTTGCCAGTCTGCCTTGCCACGGAGCACGGAGGTTGACACACATAGGGACTTTCCAGTTATCAAGCAGTGGTGCTGTTCCTTTACCCTTGTGGATAATAGTAGGGTAGCTGGACCTTCAAAATTTATGTGTTTAAACTTTGTCAGAGATTTTTGGCAAAGTTATCTATGGTACCCGAGGAGCTGATGTTGCGTGTGGGGATTGTCGACATATTTACTCAGAAAATCTGCTTCTCGAAATCCAAAGAGTGGTGCTTTTTTGATTTTTTAACAAATGGCCATGTTGCCCTTTCTTTTATAAGGGCACCAATTGTGTGCAAGAAGTACGTTTAGAGAGTTATTGCTTGTAGGAATTTTCCCTTTATTTTCGTACTTCAGAGATTTATTGGACCTTATTTCTCCTTCATCATTTCTGAAAATGTCTGGCCCATCCGACTGTCGTTTTGACTTGAACTTCGGTGAAGAGGCAGCCATGCTTCCTCAAGACAACATATGACGCCCATCCTTCTTATCCCCTACTGGTCATCTTACCGTTGGGGACTCTGTGATGAATAATGATATGACCGCTGCGATGGTGGACATAAACCTTCTCACTCCCAAAGATAACATACTACTTTCCAAACAGTCTGATGAGTTGGTTGTTAAGGATTCTCTGGCTCTCAGTGTTCAGTGTGCAGGTTCTGTGTCTAATATGACCCAACGCCTATTTGCTCGAACCCGCCAAGTTGAATCATTGGCGGCTGAAATGATAAGTCTCAAACAAGATATTAGAGAGCTCAAGCATGAGAATAAACAGTTACACAGGCTCGCACATGACTATGCTACAAACATGACGAGGAAGCTTGACCAGATGCAGGAATCTGATGGTCAGATTTTACTTGATCATAGGAGGTTTGTGGGTTTGTTCCAAAGACATTTATTACCTTCGTCTTTTGGGGCTGTACCACGTAATGAAGCTCCAAATGATCAACCTCCAATGCCTCCTCCTTCTGGGGTTTTGTCTAGTACTAAGGCTCCGAATGATCACCTTCCGGTGCCTTCTCTTTTTGGGGCTCTGCCGACCGTTGAGACTTTTCCTAAGCAACCTTTGTGAAAGCTCCTTCTTGTTTGTTTATTTTGACTCATGTATATGTACATATTTGTAACTTATCGGAGATATCAATAAATAAGTTTTGCTTCATTTCAACATATTGTGTTAAATACACCAAAACCTTCTTCACTAAGTTCTTTGAATTTTTTCTGTTGTTGAAGCTTGTATGCTGAAGCTTTGTAAGTGAAGCATGTAGGTTGAGGTAGTGTTTCCTTAATTTCCCAAGTGAGGAAAACTTCTCAGTTGGAGACTTGAAAAATCCAAGTCACTGAGTGGTCGTGAGACTTCCGAGTATCAAGGTGCAGTAACATATGGTAGGAGTCCCACAAGTTTCCGGTCGAGGGAGTTGACGAAGGAGATGTCTTGCTAGTAGCCAAGCTTCTAAATTAACAACACTTCACCATTTTCCTTTCTAAGTGGTAGCCCAAAACTCCTCCTTCACATATATTTGTTATGAAAGTTGTTAGGCCCAAAGAAGAGGAGGCCTAGGCAATTTTTTTTCTTTCCGAATTTTTGAATTTTCGAATTTTTGAATTTTTGAATTTTTGAATTTTTGAATTTCTGAAATATATATATATTTTTAAGCTTTGTAGGTGAAGCTTTGGTGTTGAAGCTTTGTAGGTGAAGCTTTGAGGACCGTCGGATTACATTTTTTTTCCCAATCCAACAACCCTAATTTTGTCACATCACCCAACAGTAACTTTAATTTTTTTTTTCTACATTTTTTATTTTATTTTATAAGTTGGAAGACTAGGACCGTTCATTAGAGCAACTCCAGCGTTGCAAATGCCTCTTAGGGCTACTCACTATTGAATCCATCCAGTGAACAGTAACTGTCTTTTGCATCTCTACTCCTAAACTGAATAGCCATGGTAATAGGTAATGAAATATTAATATTTTTTATTTTATAAAATAATACAAAATAATTTTATTTGTAATTTCGGATAAGATTTTTAATCATTATCGTTGCATCACGTGTTATTATCCGAAAAGACAATTATTGGTGATAGATTTCGATAAGATTTTTATCCAATGCCGTCGTGCCACGTGTCATTACCTTTTCAGAATCGTTGATGATAGATTTTTAACCAATCACGTCGCGCCACGTGTCACAATCTGTTTACAATCTTTGAGGATAGATTTCGATCAGATTTTTAAAGAATGACGGCATGCCGAGTGGCATCATCTACAACCTAGTCCTTTCTTTTTCCTCCATATAACCCACCATCCATCCTAAGAAATCACACACCAAAATCAAAATCTCTATCATTATTCATAGTTTCTACTTCCTTCTTCACCAAAATCAAAATCAAAATCTCTATCATTATTTATAGTTTATGCTTCCTTCTTACAATGTCTTCTTCTTAAAAACGTTG